CAATGGAAAATTACTCATGAGATAAACATAATACAGTGGACTCCCCAATATAAATTTGAGATGACTTGAACAACTTTCAGTACTGCTCAGGGTGGAACACAAGCAGGGTGACAGAGGAGAGAACACTAGATCCTACTGTTACTGTAACCAGAGATGCTTACAGTATGTCATTGCCATGAAAAGGGAGGGGTTGGGACAGAATGGATTCTTTGCTCTAAAATAATCATCATCACCTATCCTTTTCTAAGATGGCACGGGACAGAAGCCCCCCTTCCTGAGAAGAATGGGACAGTTTATGACAATACATGCTGCTCTCCAACCAAGTGCAGTTAAGGAATTACATGTCCACATTTGTTTGGTTGCCCTCTCTTTCTATCCTCAATGAAAGTTCTATAACTAAGAACAAGAAACAATGTTTATATTGCAGGGGGCACTGGTTGGGTTAAATCAGGAGTCTCCTTGTACAGGAGTACTAGACTGGGGACGACGGTGCGGTGCCCTGCCTCCAGCATACCAACACAAAGGGCACACATAATCTATCTCCCAGGTCTGGGGAAGGTGGCTGTTTTATGCTGCAGGCAGTGCTGAGCATTACTGCAGCAGGGGCATTACTCAGCAGGGGAGGGGCTATGCCTCATATCCTCACATGCTAGGATGACTGTGCTAAGGGGAGACCTTGCTACAGCTTTTTAAAGCTGTAGCAAGATTTGCTGTGCACCAGTGTTCCACACAGCACTCGAGGCATTATACCTTTCATAACAGGCTCCCTCTTTGCTCACCATAAAATGTGCTGACAATGCTCATAACTTCAGTGAGAGTCTCAAAATATTTGGTGTTTGCATTTTTCTTAAAGCTCCAGTTCCCGGAATTATGGAATTAAGGGAGAATCTCAGCTTTCATATAAAAACAAACAAAATAAAAGGAATTTTCTGTCCCTCACAGCTGCAGAGAAAGGCTTGAAAGTGTGAACACTCAAAAACCAGAGGGCAAAAGAAATGACTTGACATGATTTTAAGTCAATCTCATGATTTTTCATGGCCTAACTTATGAATTTGAAATGCTTGAGATGGCAATATTGTAACTATCAACTGTGGTTATCTGTAATTATTTGTTCCACACAGTTCTGGTATTTTTAATAGATCAGAGAGTAAAGACTTAGTCTGTGGCGGGGAGAAGGTGGTCCTTTATTTCAGTTTAACAGGCTTGTTTTTGCCATGTAAGGAGCTTGCTGTAGGAAATAATTCATCCTCACTCCTCTGCCATGCTTCAAAATCCAATGGAAGAAAGGAGGCATCTGGACTCCCAGCAGTTAGGGTATAGAGGGAGGGGGCCAAGTTCCAGCAGGCAGGAGAAGAAGAAAGCAACAACTGCTTATGAAAAGCTGTCAGCTGTGATGCAGTGACCCTACTATACCCAGGCTCTACTAAAGGTATGTCTTCACTGAAAAGTGATGGTGTGACTGAAGCACTGGTAGGAATAATCCTGTTAGGTTTAATCTAGCTAGAAAGGGTAATAATAGCATTGTAGACATGGTGGCATGGGCTTGAACTCAGGCTAGCTGCCTGAGTAAAAGCCTGCCAGGGACCCTGGATACTTATTTGGGTTGCTAGTGATGGACTGTGCTATAACCCCTTCACTACTATTGTTACCTGCGCTAGCTACATTAAAGCCAGTATGGGTATGTCTACCCTTGCTGCAATCACACCTTCACTTGCAGTGAAGACATAGGCTAAAGACTGGTCTACACTTAAAACTTAGGCTGACAGAGCTACAGCATTCAGGAGTGTGAAAGAACAACACCCCTGAGAACCTTAGCTATGACCTCCTAACCCCGGTGTGAGTTGGTGTCCATCAACCTAGCTACCGTTGCTTGGGGAGGTGGAGTTCCTTCTGTTCCTGAAGTCTGTCTCTACATTATGGTCTTACTGTAGCTATGCCACTATAATGCCCATAGTGTAGTCATGGCCTAAGTGGGATGCAATTGGGTAGGGACTCCCAGTCTCAATGGCTGAAGGAGGGATTTGACCTGAAAAGGCAGCCTGTTGACAAGAGAACTGGTTCAAGTGGGGGAAGAGGGAAAAGTTTTTTCCCCACATACATACCTGAGCCTGTCCTTCCCACATTGGCGTTGGCTTGGGCTCCACCATTCCCGCTGGCTGCTCTGGAATGTTTCCAGGGGGTAGGAGGATTGTTGCAACAGAGGGAGTGTGGGGATGAGGGAGGAGGGTGGTAAGTGTGGACACAGGCCAGAGATTCTACCACCAGAAGAAGTTAAAAAGGAAGGAGATTAGTTGCTGCAGCAAGGGGTGACAGCCCTGGGATACTCTAGCTCCCTTATTAGGGCCAGTCAGTAAAGGGGAGGAGGAAGCAGTTCCCCTACTTGTTATCTGGGGGGCAGGGTGCGGAGCAAAGACCTAACTGAGCCTCTTTTTAACATGGGGCTGGACTTCAGCTTTTTTGCTGCTTTTGTTCTTGGCAGTGATATCAGCTGCCTTCCAACCTCTTCCTGTTTGAACTGGCTCAAGTGTGCTGGCCTGCCTTTTGAGACTCCCCTCGCCACTGACACTCAGCTTGGGAGACTACACTAGTCCTATGGCCACCAATGACACAAGAGCTCTCTAGCCTAGGAAAAAAGGTGCCTCTTTAAATCAAGTCAAGTACCTCGAGGTACCTAACCCCATTTGACCCACCACTTAACTAGATGCAGTTTAAGGTCTTGTCTAGACTAGAATTTCAGGTGTGACGTTAGCACATGCCAGGTGACCTGTGTTAACTAACAGGCTTTAAAAGTCTAGTGTAAAGAAAGCATACTGCCTTACTGTGCTAAATGGGTTGAGCCTAGTGGGGAACCTAGCACATGTTAAAGGCAGTGTGCCTTGTCTACACTAGACTTAACTAAGGGCTAGTGTACACTGGCAATGCTAAAGTGCTGCCGCAGCAGCGCTTTAACATGGCTTGTGTGGTCACGGCAGAGCTCTCTCCCAGCGCTCTAAAAAAACCCACCTCCACAAGGGGCGCAGCTCCCAGTGCTGGAGCACTGTCTACACTGGCGCTTTACAGCGCTGAAACTTGCTGCGCTCAGGGGTGTGTTTTTTCACACCCCTGAGCGAGAAAGTTGCAGCGCTGTAAATTGCCAGTGTAGACAAGCCCTAAGATTTGCTACCATCGTATCTTCAAATTCTAATCCAGACAAAGCCTAACACCTTTATAATCAGGTTAGCATCAACCCCTCCAGTTAACATGATGGTAAGGGTGTTAAACTGATTCTAGACTAGGTGTTAAGCAGTGTTTCAGATGGGGTTAACTACCTCCAGGTACATGCAAAATCAATGTAGTTATTTTTGGGCAGATTTGTGTGTGGACACTCTTATTTTGAAAGAAAAGTGGTTTGAGTTTAGTCACTTTCATTCTGAAATAACAGTGTCCACACAAAGACATGCACCAAAATGACTAAATTGGTTTGAATTCACAACTTCTATCATTTCAGTGCAAATTTGCATGTGGACCAAGACTCACCCGATTAAACAAACAACAAAAAATTCCACAGTTTTCCCACCAAGTCTGGACAGAACCACAGAATCAACCTTTCGCCCATGATCAGCTTGAGGACTCAGAAAACAGCTCTTGGATGTTGGAGAGCATCTCTTTTGTCTAACAAGTTACTAGCTGGCATCCTATTGGCAGCAGTGGCTGTTTCTTAACCTTCCTATACCTGTTGGATGACACACTGACTTGTCTACATTAGAGAGTTTACAGCAGCGTAGCTGTACAGATGCAGTTGCACCACTATAAGATCTCTTTTGTAGCCACTCTATGCCACCAGGAGAGATCTCTCCCGTTGACATAAACCACCCCCAATGGGCGACAGTAGCTATGTTGGCAGGAGAAGCTCTTCTGCTGACACAGCACTGTGTTCACTACCACTTATTCTGGCAAAACTTATGTTGCTCAAGGGGGTGTTTTTTTCACACCCCTGAGCAACGTAAGTTTTGCTGACATAAGTGGTAGCGTAGACATGGCCTTACAGGTCTCCCATATTTCTCTATTCTTGGATTAAGGAGACCATTACAGTAGGCTTTCTGCTTGGCAGCTGGGAGCATGACAGCAGCACCCAATTCCCTTCTGACCCTTACAATAAATTACTGCTAAATCCACCACCTCCTTGGGGTGGACTTGAAGGAGGACAGCTAGAAATGTAGATATACGCTAAACAGAACTTCCTAGTACTTGGGAAGAGCTGGGAGGATTCTGTTATTTGAAGTCCACTATAGCTCTCACTCTTCAAATCTGATTTTTCCATGATTTTTCTCTTTGATACTACACCAGTGGGTGCTCTAGAAAAACCTAAGATAGATTTCCCAATGAGACCCCATGATGTGACGTGGACTGTTTTGTCTTACCATGCTCATTCTCATGCATAGACATTGGGTTGTCATATAGGCAAGTTACCATCTGTGTGTGTTTCAACAGAAAGGTTTGTCCTGCAACAAAACCTTGGGCTGAGTTTCAAAAGTCTAAACAATTTTAGCTGGTTTTCCATATACACCTATATGCCCTCCCCATAGAAAACTACCCCATCAGTTTGCCTAAACATCTGGGGCAGCTTGCAGGCCTGCTAAATACAGGACTCCACATCAATTAAAATGGCTAATCATGATCCCAACAAGGTGGCTTGCGATAATTGTCTAGCTCCACTGGACCAACTGGAATGTCTCAACAGATGATCTTTTGAGAGTGTTCCTTGCTGAAGTGCCAGAAAATCTTAAAATGCAGGTTATTTTAGGGCCACAGACAGGCTACTTCTTTGAGTATAAAAAGTGACTGAATAGCATTGACTTTTTTTTCTTAGCTGGTCTAGGGCTGGAGGGCTGTGAGCATCACCAAAAAGTCAACTGACAAAATGTGAATTCAATTATATCAATGATAAACACAGTAGAAATGTACAAAACTCCAGTTCATTGATCTGGAGTTTTATTCTTGTTGGGTTTTTCTGTACTTACTGGTGGACACTGTGCAAGTTTATCAGCTGCCACCAACTGAACATTTAAGTGTTTACTTTGTGACTTTCCTCTGGATTTAATCAGTCGCTGCAAAACCTGAGAGAGGAAAAGAGGAAAACATGAGTATAAGAGTCAAACATCCCCAGATACAAGAGATCCAAATGCCAATGACAGGATTAACCAATGTAATAAGCTCTTATTTGTATTACATTTAATATAATGGACCAAATTTTGTCATCATACAAATGCAAATTTTTCAATTTACTTCACTGGGATTTGTGCGTGTTTATCTCAGCATAGGATTCGACCCATAGCATATTTTCCAAATGCAGTTTAAACTGTGATTTTGCTTTGTTCTGGTTCTAAGTACAAGGTTATTGTCAACAAATATAATTTTCTAAAGGACTGCTTTCCAGTGCTCCCTGAAAATTATGCAGTTGCACTAGTTTGATTATAGCATAACAGTAATAGTATATTATGCTATGCAATACTGATATTATGGTAACAGTCTGCTCAGAAATATATTTTGATAAAGAAGGTTTTTTAACACCCACAGTTCATATTACCTCATTTTTTCCTGCAGTATGCTCATTAATAGAATTTAGGGGGCGGGAGAAATTAGGAATTCTAAATTATTTATCTATAAACTATAAAAGAAAATTATAGTATCAAACACCCTGCTCATAAGCCTTTGGGCGAAAGACTTCAAAAAGAAAAGTGTGCCCTTGACCTTTGTGCTCTTGATCCTCCCCCCCCCCCCCACTCACTTGCCAGATAACTTTCCATTCAATAGAATGGGTGTAGCTAGTACAACCAGCACCACCTCAGGAAAATTCAATAGCAGTCAGCAGGGAATATGCAAATTATATATACTGAGTTTACATTAAGAACTTTATATTATTATAAGTGCACTAAGGGGTGCTGTTAAAACTTAAATTATACTGTTTCCTTATAGAATGTGAGCCAGATCCCCAACTGACATAAATCACCGTACCTCCATTTGCACCACGTGAAGATTCGGACTTTTAGCTTTAGAAAACATGTAGGTTTTCTAGAAAAGTGAGTGAAGGATCTGGAAGAAGTTATTCACCCCAAAGTCTATGGTACTGAAGTATAATGCTAGGTAATAGAAGCCATCCTTAACTGCCAGTAGTTAATGTAACGACAAGCAAATTGTGAAAGAACACAAGTAGTCAGGTATTGACTGCTAAACCACTATCGGGGCTACAGCCTTGTCTATATTAAAACTTTCAGAAGTTTCATTAAGATTGTTTTTTAAATGAAAATTGGTGCAAACCCCTGTGTGGATTCTCTTATATCAATGTCCTCCTTGTTTATATTATTTTAGCTTTATTTAGTTAGTAACTGAATTACGCTAAATCAATATAAACCAGGTTTAAATCAATTTAAAAACACATCTTCAGTTAAACTGGTGCAATAATATAGACAAGGCCTCAGTGTGCAAAGGTTATTAAGGACCTTAAAGCAGCACTTTAAAGAAATGACTTTTGTGCTCTACATGAAGAACCCAGAGGACATCCCAAAAACCACAACTGGCACTAGCTAGTGTCCTGGTTGGGAGTCTCAATAGAAGCACCAAGGACTGATCTAATCTCTCACCTCTAGAGGTGGCCCTCCAAGGGAGAGTTAAGGTGGAGTGAGGAGAGATGGCACTTGTTCTGAAGATGAATTAAGGGCTTAAATCTCTAGGACTGTCAATGCAGCATCTTTCATGAACATTAAACTCACTATAATTTTAACTGAAAATAAATATCTATTTTCAAGGTAAATAGTTGCATGAGGATTTTAAACAGAGAAGGATTCCCCCTCTAGGGAGAGGATGAGAGAAAAAAAATAAAAAGGGGACCATATGAGACAGGTTAGTCATGGCATTTAATGCACTACTGGAAAGGGCTCAGATATTACAGGGATGGGCCTGTATAAGAACCTGTATACAACAGCATGGTTTTCTTCTGATATGAGCACAAAGCTCTCACTGGTGTCAACATGTGCATTTTGAGGGGGAAAGAGAACACACCCTATCTCAGAGGACAACGAGCATGTAACATTTTAAAAGTAAAATGCATATATTTTAAAGATGATTGTAATTACCTTTGGAGATGACACTTTAACATGGACAATAATCGGTGCTAAAGATGTCTTAATAAGTTGTGCTGGATGATTGATAGTATCCGCATCTAGGACAACCAGCTGTAAGGATCTTGCCAACTCAAAGATTCTTTCAATTTCACTCTGCACTTCAGCTAAACAACAACAACAAAACAACAGGTCATAACTGCTCTACCCCAATACTGTTTAGAAAAATAAATCACATGTGCCATTGGTTTTGGTGTACAGTATATGTACAATAAATGGACTTCATGTATAAATAAATGTTTGTGATTTACACAGGAAACTAGAACAGGTGATGCAAGTACAGACCATACATTTTTAGACTGTTTTTAAAAATGCTACTTTGGTCCCCACAAACGCTAAAGGGAATAAGCCTCATGAATGCTGACTGTTGTTGGCAATGTAACTCCCTTGATGTTATGTTAGCTCATACGTTTTGGGAGCACCTCTGTATCAAGAATTTCTGATGTAAGTTGGGTCAAAGGACCAATTTGATATTGGATGCTAAATTGGAGCCCTCCTCCTTAAGTTTAATTCTTGGATATATTTCCAATATCTGGAGATTACCTGGTAACAAGGTAGCACGGTTCCAAAATGGAGCTTTAGTGGCTAAAAAATTAATCATGAAAAAGTGGATCCCCACCAAATATTGATGCCTGGATCAATGATATGGCTGATCTCGCAGCTAATGAATGACACGCATTCCGCAGAAAGGGAATTCCCGAAAAATTCAAAGCAATTTGGGCTGAGTTTTTAGAGGTCTATGATTAACTTAGACCCTGAAGAAAGATATGTCACTTCCCTGCCCCTCACTTAATACTAACCCTATTTATTTATTTTGCATACTATGATGAATCTGATATGTTGGTATATTTGCTGTATTTGGAAATATTAATAAAAATTATAGTCAATGTAGTCTATCCACCTAACTGCTACTCCAATAATCTATAAAGCATAAGGTTACTTACTAAGATTTGTTCTTACGTGCCCCTAAACACACACAGACTCTAAATCCGTTAGAAATAATATGGTTCACCCAATAAAGTGGCTACATGACCAAACTAATTATTTCTAAACATTTCACAGTTGTTTTCTTAGCACTATTCATGACTTAAAATACAAAATCAGTCACTCAGAATGAAGCAAACCTTAATGTACAAGGCCCAGAAAAGGTTCTAAGTATGCCATACTAATGTTCCACTTGGGCACTTAATATGAAGCTTATATAGTGCACTGAGCTTTGTCCAGCCAGTACACACTGGGGTGAATTTTATCCCCAAGAGCCTTTTTCTCCCATCAACATGTATGAAATTTGGATTTACCCATTTAAATCCACTGCATCAATAGGGGAACAGATCACTTGGAGTTAAATTCAGATACGGGTTATGGACCTGATCCAAAGCCCACTGAAGTCAATACAAAGACTCTTCTTATTGACTTCAATAGGCAATGGATCAGGAATAGGTGAATAAGATTTATACTGGTGCCGAAAAGTTCTGGTGGACTGCCAAAAAGACTTTTCATCTGGAAATCTCAAAGGCTCTATGGGATCCCATAAAGCTGTAATCCAGTTTCTGCAAGAACCTGCTTATTTCCAGTGGCTGATGCTATAGGCATCTCATGGTTATAACAGAAGGGCTCATGACATTTAAAAGCTGTCACTTTGCTCCTGGATGTCACTATGTGCAGTGCAGTACATGTGCTAACATCTTACCTAAACTGGACCTGGTATTCGACCGCTCAATTATTGCCCTCTTGCTCGGATTATTTAGGACAGACCTCTTAGCAAGAGAAATGTCGGCTGTCACTCTAGTTATTGATATCCTATGAATAAGAACACAGGAAAGAACAAAAACACTGCAGTCACATTTTTACTTATTGTATGTGATTTAAAACTACTTTGTGTTGTAGAGTTTGAACATAGTATAACACCAGTCAGATGTGTTTTATAGTTGAATTATATGATCATTAAAGTAAGAAAGAGAGGCAGAAATAAAGAAACTCTCCTTTCAAGTAAAACCCATGGTACTCAAGCACTAAAAAACCCCACGCAATTGTACAATGTTTGTCTATTTCGCTTTTAACTGATAATGTATATGTGTGCAAGCATATAATTTCTAATACCACACTCACTACTACATATATTTCTCTCTCTCTTTCTATATGTAGTCATCCATCTACCTATACAGAGACACTAACACAAACTTCTACTTGTGCTAATGAGGTGTGATTAGGGTTGCCAACTTTCTAATCGCACAAAACTGAACACCCTAGCCCCGCCCCTTCCCAAGGCCCCACCCCCCGCTCACTACATTCCCCCTCCTTGGGTGGCTCGCTCTCCCCCACCCTCACTCACTTTCACTGGGTGGGGCAGGGGGTTGGGTTGGGGGATGGGGAGGGGGTGAGGGCTCTAACTGAGGATATGAGCTCCAGGGTGGGGCCAGAAATGAGGGGTTCAGGGTGTGGGAGGGGGCTCCGGGCTGGGGCAGGGAGTTGGGTGTGGGAGGTGGTGAGGGCTCCAGCTGAGGGTGCGGGCTATGGGGTGGGGCTGGGGATGAGGGGTTAAAGGTATGGGAGGGGGCTCCAGGCTGGGGGGGTGGGGCCGACGGATTCGGAATGTGGGAGGAAGCTGCAGGTTGAGGCAGGGGGTTGGGGCATGGGAGGGGGTACAGGCTCTGGGCTGGGGGTGCTGGATCTGGGGTGGAGCTGGGTATGAGGGGTTTGGGGTGCAGGAGGGGGCTCCACGCAGGGGGGTGGGGCTGAGTGATTCGGAGTGCGGGAGGGGGCCACGGGTTGAGGCAGGGGGTGGGGTGCAGGGGGGGTGAGGGCTCCAGCTGGGGGTGCAGGCTTTGGGGTGGGGCCTGGGATGAGGGGTTCAAGGTGTAGGAGGAGGCTCTGGGCTGGGGCAGAGGGCTGGAGTTCAGGGGGGGGTGAGGGCTCTGGCTGGGGGTGCAGGCTCTGGAGTGGGGCCAGGGATGAGGGGCTTGGGGTATAGGAGGGGGCTCTGGGTTTGGGGGGGCTCAGGGCTGAGGCAGGGGGTTGGACCTCGAAGCTGGGGTGTGGGCTTAACTCAGGCGGTTCCCAGTCAGTGGCGCAGCGGGACTAAGGCAGTCTGTCTGCCTATCCTGGCACCGCGCTGCACCCCGGAAGCGGCCAGCAGGTGCGGGTCTTAGGTAGGGGGGCCAGGAGACTCCACACGCCGCTCTCACCTGCAGGCACTGACCCCCCAGCTCCCATTGGCTGGGAACCGGTTCCTGGACGATGGGAATGCAGAACTGGTGCTCGGGGCGGGAGCAGCATGCATAGCCCCGTGGCCCCGCCACCTAAGAGCCGGACCTGCTGGCCGCTTCCAGGGCACAGTGCGGTGACAGGACAGGTAGGAACTAGCCTGCCTGAGCCCCGCAGCACCACTGACCGCACTTTAAACAGCCCGGTCAGTGGTGCTGACCGGAGCCGTCAGGGTCCCTTTTCGACCGGGTGTTCTGGTCAAAAACCGGATACCTGGTCACCCTAAGTGCAATATCAGAAATAATTTCACAAGCTAAAGCGGATCTCAGGGCAAGTACAACAGCAGAGCCATAATAAATCATAAAATAATAATAATACTTCATCTTCAAAGCATTTTATAAACATTAATTAATCTTCATATATTCCTCTGAGGTAAGTAAAGAATGTAATCCCCAATTTACAATTTGCGGAATGGCAACAGAGAGATTCTATCTATCTAGGCGCCTCAGTCATTAATGGATTTATTCTCACAACCCTTCATGAGGTAGGCAGTTGTTGCCACTTTACAGACAAGGAACTGAGGCACAGGGTTAGGTTACTTGCCCAAGGTCACAAAGGAGAGTCTGTGACTGGTTATTAAAATGAGGTCTTTAGGATCCCAGTCCAGCGAGCTATCCCCTACAACATGCATCCTGCATTCCTAGAGCAGGCTAGTTAAGTCACTTGCCCAAGGCTGCAAAGAAAGTCCATATCAGAGGCAAAATTAGAACAAAGGCTTGTAAGCTGGGAAATTCTAACCACCTCTCTCTCTCTGTCACACTCATGCACACACGCACCAAGCTGGACTATGCGAAGTAGGTCACCACAAAGAATACTCCTCACACTACAGGCTAGACGGTAGCATTCAACACAGCCTGGAGCTGGGAATAGCATGGAGGGATCATTTTGCAGGGAGGGAGGGTAGAGTGGTGTGGAGAGGTCTTGCCGGAGGAACTGTACCTCAGGGAGCATAGTTCTTCTCAGAGCTGCGAGTAGCACATGTCACGTGCACACTGTGGCTGCCCAGCTCTGTAAACTGGTGTAGAATGTGAGAATATGGTGAAGCCCCTTCCCTGACACATGAATGCAGGGACCACAATTGTTCCTAATCCTTGAGAGGGGTGATAAAGGAGGAGTGTGATGGGGTTTAACCCCCACCATTGGCAAGGAAAGGGAACGAACACCAATTAGTCATACTCTGCACCTGGAGGAGGTTCCCCCTGGCCAGAGAAGGCGAAGCTAGGCCTTATAAGTAGACTGAGGGAGCTCTGTTGGAGAGAGACTGCAGAGGAGACAGGTCTCTCTAGTGGAGGGAAGCCCGGGGATAAGGTTTAAACAGACAAGCAACAACTGAGGAAGAACACTACTGGAGCAGGTTAGGCTTCTGCAGGGGGAGGCCCTGAGACAGAGCCAACAAGGGGACTACACTGAAGCCTGAGAGGGTCAGAAGGGCTATTATTCTAAAGATTTGTTTGGCCTTTTATTTGGACTTGTTTGTGCTATCCTGGGATGTTAAAATGCTATAAAATGTTAAAAAATGCAGGAAATCAAAAGAAAACATTTTTGTTTAGGATTGAATGAAATGCTTTGTTCAACTAGAAATAATTTTTTTAAAATTTAAATTCACCAAAAAAATCCAAAATTTAATTTAAAACCATTTTTTAAATATTATTTTTCTGAATTTCTAGTGAACCAAAACAAAATCTGTTATTCACATAGCTCTAGAGTAGAGCTGTACACAAAACCGATTAACTAAATTGGTAGAAACCTCCTGTGTGGACACTTTTGGTTTCAGAATGCCTTATACCAACGGAGCTTAAATCAATTCCTCACAGTCTTAGCAGTTTCACTGTTTCATCTGTTCATTTAGGTGAGATTTTCACAAAGCACTTAAGGGATTTAAGAGAATAAATCCCACTGAAAGTTTTAGGAAAATCTCCTCCTTCCATGTCCATTCCCCCTTGTTGTGGGTGTAGATTTGTCACACAGTTAACAGTGGAGAGAAAAATGTTTTAAAAATTAGGAAAATGTGGTTGCAAATCCATAAAAACTGCTGGGGTACTGAAAGGCAATTGTAGCACCTGAAATACCATTTAACTTATTTTTCAAAAAAGGTTTAGATTTCAAGTGGAGTGTGTTCCTTTAAGATTTTAGGCTGTTAGCTCCTCACTTTACCTATCTGTGGATGAAATTCATACCTCTGTCTGATCCGCCCTGCTAAGAGCTAACAGCAATGGGACAATTTGTAAAACTGACAGTGACAAAGATTGCAGATGGACCCTCTCTATTTCTCTCTCTTTGCGTGGACTAAACACACATCAGGGAAAGGCTATAGGACAGTACCTCTGACTAGATTTGACAACCAAACGGGGGTTTATAAGGATACCTTACTTTTTTACTTCTCCTGTGTAAACAGACATTACTGATTTTTGTGGCTTCTGATACACCTCAGTACTTCTCCCTTATAGTACAGAAATATACTTCACAAAAGATATATTCATAGCAATCACATCCCAGCAACTTGACAGGACTTTTCACTTCCAGTTGCCATGGTGTCCTATTGAAGATAATGACTTCTAGCTACCATAGGCATATGCAAAGCTGAAGGACACGTGCCAACAACTGGGAAGAGAACAGATGTCACTGCTCTGTACCTACTCTTAATACAAATGTGCCCTGGGAATCCATGCAATAAACTGAAGTGAAATAAGATTAGTCAAACAGTTCAGGAGTGGGGGGGGGGGGGGATGGAAGAGGGTATGGACGAGAATCATGAAGAGCTCAGAGAAATGACTCATTAAACTGCAGGCTGCTGTGTAAAATGCTCAATCCACCAGGTTTTAAAATTAAATACTAAGTTTGTGGGTTTGCTAATGTCATCTGTGTTAGGCAAATTAAAAACTGGGGAAGGGCTACAAGTCTTACACCATAGCCTGCAGCTAAAGCTGTCATTCCTCAGAGCTGTTCACGGGTTAGGGAGGAGTCGTAGTCACTTCTTTGCCTCCCATGAATACCTACCCTATCCCCACTCCACAACCTAACTGGATAATCTTATTTTACAGGGCTTCTAATGTAACCCTGCATATTAAATGCATGTACACTGTGGGAAAAGGGGCACAGGAAGATACCTCCTCCTTGAAGATCATCCATGTGTAATGGCTGGGGCTTAGGTGACCAGGCTGGGCCAGAGTTGAAGGCAGGAGTGGAGACTAGCTACTAAGCCGAGTCAGGAGACGGGTACCAAGGTCAAGCCAGGCCTGGGTCAAAGGCAGAAGTAAGGAGCAAGATGAGGCGAAAGACAAGGTAGCAAGCTAGAATCTATGTTGTTGCTCAGACGGCTCCTGAGGGTAACTCCTGGTTTAAACCGTTGGTGTGGACCAAAGTTCTGTTGCTCTGGCCTCTTTGGGTAGTACTTGCTGCGGTGCCTAACTCTCCAGTAATTGTTGGGTGCTGCTTCACCTGGCTCCCCAGTGGTGACATAGAGGCAGTGGTCACCCAGGACCTCACAACCCCAAATTCTAGACCCATGGATCCTTATGGCATGAAACAACAGGGCA